AACTCGGGGCCCAGCCCCTGGACACGGGGAGAACCTGCGCTGGATTCCTGTGCCCTCCCGCAATAAACTCTGGGACCAGCCCCTGGGCACGGGGAGAACCTGCGCTGGATTCCTGTGCCCTCCCGCAATAAACTCTGGGACCAGCCCCTGGGCACGGGGAGAACCTGCGCTGGATTCCTGTGCCCTCCCGCAATGGGCTCCGGGGGCAGCCCCTGGGCACGGGGAGAACCTGTGCTGGGTTCCTGTGCCCTCCCGCAATGGACTCTCCCTGGCCCTGTCCACAATCAGGTTTCCATGACATTTTCCCGCGTTGCTGTAGCGCCGGTGCAGCCAGTGGCGAGCCCCTGGGGGAAGCACTAGCAGAGGCTGCTGTCAGCAGGGCCATTGCTGGGTGTCCTGTCCAGCTGCTAGAGCGATGGTGGGAGAATGTCACAGAGCCCTTGGAGCAGACGCAGCCAGCGGGCCCTCAGGCGGCTGAGGGAGGGGCATGAGGCACAGCCTGTATGGGACCCCCACCTGGCCAGGAATAGGAGGACTTGGCCATGTGACACACAAGTTTTCCGCTCCCCTGAGCTGGAGACAGAGAAGCCACGTGGCAATTAGCTTTCAAAAGCAGGCACTGCCTGTCCCTGAGCCCCGAATTTACAGCGTCAGGCCTAATGCAGCCTGTCCATTGTCAGGCAGGCTTAGCGAGATGGCAAACGCAGCTGCACACAGTGATGGGGATTAACATCCTGGAGCGTAACGCCAGCAGCAGCCACCCAAATGACCAGCTTCGCTAACAAGTCCGCCACACTAGGGCCCTCATCTCCAATACAGCCAGCACTGCGGGGGTCACAGTTCCCGGGGCCATTAGATCCAGCTGCCCTGCTGAGAGATGCCTCAGATCCACCACAATACAAGGCCCCCCCAAATGGTACCACTTCCCCAGCCCACCCCAACGTATTCTTCTCTCCCTCCATCCCAAGCAACGCAGCTCATCCCAGCAGGCGGGAGATGGGCAGAAATCTGCCTGTGCCCTGCCACAGATTCACCCTCACGTTCTCTCCTACCCCCAGACATGGATCCCAAGGATCAAAGGATCCAGTGTTAATCTGCCCTGGGGCAACACGGGCCTTTTCATTTAGTGAAATCAGGGGACCAGTTGCAGGCATTTCCTGAGAACGATCCCTGCAAACGGAGCCAAACCAAGGCCAGTGGGCATTGGGCCCAAATCCTGGGTCACACAACAAGCAGGACACCCCAGGTGGCAGGCTGCCGGTGACGTCAGCACGTGGGGAGCATTTTAACTAGTGGGATTGCCTAAAAATGCCCAGAATGCCTGGACCACATTTCTAAATGGGGGTGGCTGCAGCCCCTTCCCAAAGGGGGATCTGACGCCCTGGGAACTAAAAGGGGAAGTCACCAGCCTGGAAGGATCAGAGGGGAGGGTGGGAATTCAGACTCAAAGCTAATAATCCAACAGCTTCAGTAGAAAGCAACTTCAGCCCCACGGCTATTCGGGGCACTGACCTGGTATAGGGCCCGGGCAGCACCCTGGCCCAGTCGGTGCCGTCTTCCAACTGAGCCGACACGGGGTATCTTCCATAGCAAATTCATGTTCCCCCCAACATGCAGTAAAGAAAAGCCCCCAGGGCTGCAGGCAGCCCGACCCTGATGCATAACCACAGCGCACCTTGCGCTCCCTGCTGTCTGACCCCCACCGCGGGACAGTCCCCCTGAAGCACCGGGCTCCGTGAGATGACGTGAATGGGGGCACAGGGCCAGTCTATGCAAGAGGCAGCTGTGTGTGCCCATGGTCCCTCCTACCCTGGCAACAATATAAATCTCTCTGGGAGGAGGGAGAAGGCAGACACCCAGGAATGGGGCGCCTACGCTGACCATGCTTTGGCTTTGTGTTCAGGCCTCTAATTCCAGTGACAGGGAGCAGCAAGTCTCCCAGCCCCTTGGCTTTCGTTTCGCTGGTCTCCCTAAGGCACTCCTAGCTCCGCAGCGGAGCTGAGCAGCAAAGTGCTCTACAGGAGTCTCCCTAAGGCAGCAGCGAGAGGGCCCATCCGGGCTGGCCCCCATCCAGCCTAAGGCCCGTGCTCCTCAGTGCAGCTGAGGGAGACAGAAGCGGAGCGCTCCCATACCTCACCCAAGAGGCTGTGCAATGAAGCAATGCGCTAGCAAGCCCCACCTAAGCAATCAGCTCATGCCCTAAAGCACGAGATTTGAATAACCAAATCGGTATCTTCGTGCAATTACTTACAGGGATCAGGAAATCACCCAGTTTTGCTCTGAAATCCAGCCCCCGCCCTACTCCTTAACAAGCTCCTGCAGGGCTGACTTCCACAGGCTGGCTACACCCTGCAGGGAAACCTGCTGCTTTTTAGCCGGCTGCCCTTTAAAGGGGACCGGAAGAGGGTGGAAAAACGAGGTCTGACCCGTTTTCATGAAGAGGTTTTTGATTTGGGTTGGCTTTTAATTTTGGAAAGCTCAGCTCTTGTCTTGCTCCTTTTCGCTGGAGGTCTCCTTGGAAAACCGGAGAACGAGTGGGATTCTGACTTGGCCAGAGAGTGACCTTATGAGCCAATGGGAGGGAAGGGGGGGAATTTTTAGTCAGACTGTTTAAAACTCACTTTGCTGACACCTATTTAATTCAAACGCCTGACACACAGCTGGGAAAAGGCTCTTTGGGAGAGAATCGCCAGCCCCCAGCTCCTTCATCAGAGCCCGAGGAACCTGCCACTGCTCCAGCAACAGAGAAGGAAGGCAGCACCGGGTAGTTTGATCTTTCCAAGTAAAACCGGGGCAGGGGAAAGAATCTTTAAAAGCCTCTTTCCATGGCATGAAGAAGTGAAACACAAAACCAGCGTGTGCGTTTGAAACAGAGTTGTTCCCCTTTTTCTGCAATCCTCTTATGTGCTGGAGCAATGTGCCCTTTGCGACATTATCCCACGCAGCCCCTCCCCTGCCCTGGCTGGCGAAGCGGCTCAGCGATGGGCAGTGCTAATCGCTTACATCACGCCTTCCTAAGTGTGGATTTTAGGCCCAAGACTCAGGTCCAGATTTGGTGCTGCCCCAGCTCCGTTCAGCCCATTGGGGAACTGGGAGATGCTCTAACCTACGGTGGAGGGCAACAGCCCCCAAAGGACCATCTGCCTACTGGGGATCGCAGGAGCTCAGTTGGCCCTGGCCATGCCTCTGCCACATCTCTCCTTGCCCCAGCACACCCTGCGCTAGGAGCTGGCGAGACCGGCCCCGCTCCGCTTCAGGCTTCCAGGTCTTCTCGCTCCTGGACACTGTGCTGCTCCACCTCCTCCCCAGTGTGACGTGTCCCTGTGCTAGCTCCCCAGCAAGTCC